CTGTCCCTAGCCATTACCAATCTCCTTACACCCAAGGATTGTCTACCCTCTCCTAAATTTTATTTGTAATAATCTTGTTTCATGGTCAGGTTAAAAAACAAATCTGGAAAATCAAAGCTCTACTTCCCTTAAAAACTATCTTCAAGTACAAACATTCTTCATGGCACTTTAGGCATTCTTTGATCCTCTGAACCAGAAAGATGGTGGCAATGCATTTATCTGATGGGGCAAACACAATAAATACAATACAAGTTACTTGTCATTATAGGTCAGCAACTAGCTCCTAAGCACCTTTGGTGTACTTGGCTCACTGCAAGAAGGACATAGAAGATAATAGCTGGTATGTTCTCCAAGCCTCAGATTCAGAGTGAGCCCACTCTGATGTACTTCCTGTTGACAGCAATTCTGCCCTAAGTGGGCTTGAAGGTTGTTCTCTGCTCTGATCTGATCTCCAAAGACAAATCCTAACCCTCCCTTCCTTCTTCCCTTCATTGAATTTTCCTAGATAAGTTATGTTCATCAGCTCAAATGCACCACCTTATGCATTTTTAAAGACTTTGAACTTTATGGTAACAATGGACATTTAACTCACTCAGAATTTGATCAAGTAGCTTTCATAGAGAGATAGACTCCTGCCTTATTGATTTGAAAGAGAGAAGAGAAGAGAAGAGAAGAGAAGAGAAGAGAAGAGAAGAGAAGAGAAGAGAAGAGAAAACATTGATCTTTTGCCTCCCATAAAAACCCCAATTGAATATGTGCCCACAACCTAGGTATGTGCCCTGACGGGGAATCGAACCCACAACGTTCCGATGCATGGGGCAATGCTCCAACCAACTGAGCCACACCAGCCAGGGCTTGTCTAATTTTAGTATTGACTATGTTGAAATCCCTTCTGGGCAGGACCCCTGAGAAGAGGGTATTTCCACTGAAGACACATGGGGAATTTTGCTCATTGGGCAAAGTAGAAGAAGTAACACCTAAAGAAGCACCCAAAACAATGAGACATGTAGGGAAAACATCCAAGCAGGCAGAGAAGTTGCAAGGGGTTCTGCTTATACTTACGGTGATCATATTTTCCTAATCAGACACCAGGGCAGATGGCCTGACGCATGGTCTGAAACAGGATAGATTATTATTTTTAAATCTGGGATGTATGATCACCATCTCCACAGTGAATGAAGCCAACAGCTGTTGGGCGAAAGTCATTAACAATGAGTCTCTGTACATTGAGAGATCCAGGGGAGTGGGTGGGAAGCCTCCTGATGTCATCCATGTATGAGCCAGAGCTTCCTCACAAACACAAAGAGGGTTTATTAACGAGGGTTTCCTGGAACCACTTGCTGTCACTGCCTTGCCTGCAAGGACAAAGGTGCAATCTACCGACAAAAAGAAAACACAAGCACAATGAAGCTTTGCTTCCAAACAACACAGTCTTGGAATGCAAATACAAGAAGCAGGAGCTTAATGTTATATGTCAATTACATCCCAATTTTTACAAAAGCAAGAGCAAGTAAAGGCTAGATCATCAGCTACCCTTTACTTTTTCATTTTTATAGCTTTTTCTTAGTCAAATATACTATTTTTAAATTAAATCGTCATACTCAATCTTGCGCATTCAGTTTAAAACTTGGGAATTGTTGCAAAGGAGGAGATTCAGAAATTCCAATTCCCCTACTTAATAAGAATGTTATGTCCAGCATAATGTAATAGGAGAAAAGTTTCCTTTTGTTGCCAACACTCAAAGTCAACTCTTAGTTATGTACTTTGAGAATGATCCTTAGAAAATATTTTAACTCCAGTTCCTATCACCAATATAGAAATCTGTAGACCTCCATTTTCATTTTTAAGTTGTTATATGCCTTTTCAACTTATAGCTTATCAAAAGCTGATATTTTTTGCCCTGGCCTGTGTGGCTTAGTGGGTTGAGCATTGTCCTGTGCACTGCAGGGTTGCCTGTTTGAATCCCAGTCAGGGCACATGTCCAGTTGCAGGCTCAATCCTGCTAGGGGGCTGTGCAGGAGACAGCTAATTGACGTTTCTCTCTCACATCAGTGTTCCTCTCTCTCTTTCTCTCTCCCTCTCTTTTCCTCTTTCTCTAAAATTTATAGAAACATATTTTTTAAAAGCTGATGTTTTTTTAAAATATGCCATCATAATGTTAATTTTGATGATTCGATATGTTGTGCTATCTGTATCACCATTTTAGCTCTGTCAGAGTGGATAAGAAAGACTGGCTTTATGAAAATTAAAAGTCAAGGTCTTTTCTCTATATCAGGGCTTTAAATAGTAAACAGAACATAAAAGAGATTTATTTGAATACTAGAGGCCCGGTGCATGAAATTCATGCACTGAGGGGTGGGGGTGTCCCTCAGCTCAGACTGAACCCTCTCCACTCTGGGACCCCTTGAGGGATGTCTGACTGCCGGAAGTCGGACATCCCTCTCACAATCCGGGACTGCTGGCTCCCAACCACTCGCCTGCCTGCCTGCCTGCCTGACTGCCCCTAACCACTTCTGCCTGCCAGCCTGATCACCCCTAATCACTCCCCTGCCAGCCTGATCGAAGCCTAACTGCTCCCCTGCTGGCACGATTGCCCCCAACTGCCCTCCCAAGCAGGCCTGGTCACCCCTAACTGCCCTCCCCTGCCAGCCCAGTCACCCCCAACTGACCTCCCCTGCCAGCCCAATCGCCCCCAACTGCCCTCCCCTGCCAGCCCAATCGCCCCCAACTGCCCTCCCCTGTCGGCCATCTTGTGCCCACATGGGGGCGGCCATCTTTGTGTGAGGGTGTGACAGTCAATTTGCATATTACCTCTTTATTATATAGGATATCTGATATTTCAGTTAGGTTGTTTATAGCTTCAAATGATCAACTAAAAGTGGATTCAATTTATAATCTCACGTAATAAGTCTGGAGGTGTGGCATCTGCAGGTTTGGCTATTTCAATGGCTCAGTGACTTACTGAGGACCTGGACTCCTCCCACATTTCCAGCCCATTGTCCTGGGCACAACGTGGTAATCCTTAAGCTTGACCCCATGGTCAGAAGACAGCCACTTCAATGCCAAATAACCTCATACATCATCTAAAGGCAAAAAGCTAAGAACATCCTCACTGAGAAGGAAAGAGTTTCCCAGAAACCAGTCAGGCTTTGAAAACTAAAGAGCTGGTCAGCCTCTTAAGTGGGAGGTGGGCTAGCCAGTACATTAAAAGGGTGGGAGGGACAGCATTTGAATAGATAACCAACAATATTGCCATTAAGTGTGAATGAGAAAAATTCCGTTTACATATGCTGAAGATTTATGGAACCTTATGACTATTTTCTGAGGAAATTATGTCTCTGAAACAATCTTACAATCAAGTAACCATTTTCTAATCAGTTAAAACAGTACAAAGGAGTGGATATAAGTGAGTGTGTTTGGGAAGAGGGGTTGTAGCTTGATGGTTGGGTTGAGGGGTGATCAAAAATGAAGAAGGAAATCTTTCAGCAATGATAATTAGTGCCCGCTAACATCATTTGCCTATCTACAGAATTGAACAATGCCACCAATTAAGTGTTCTTGTCAAAAATCAAACCAAATCAGATTAAACCTCTAGATCTAATGCTCAGCTAACAGGAAGTACAGGGAACAGAGAGGATCTTGTTCAACATCACAAGGAAGTAATTAGCAAAACTCAAAAATGGCAGAGGAAGTTTACCCTGACTGGATATTTGATGATACAAAGGAATGTTTGTCAAAAATTGAGGAGTATTATGGTTATGTTTTGTTTTAGAAAGTACACCTCTTAATTTTGCTAGAGGTGCCGAATCCAAATATATGCTTATATGTTTTTTTTTAAAGAGTCCATATGTTTTAGAGATACATGCTGAAATATTTATAGAAATGATGTGACATCTGAGATTTACTTCAAATGTCTCAAAATAATCTAGTGGGAGTAGGGGGGTTCAAGGTGAGAGGGAATGACAGGATATGAAGACTTACAGTCATTTATTCACTTTCAGTGAAGGCTCTGTTTATTTTGAGAAGGTATAAACCTGGTGTACTTAGGACCAAGAAATGTAATTGTCAGACTTTGCCGGCTTGCTCTAAATGACAGCAAAAAACAAAATCAAACCTCTCAACAGCAGTAAGCCAGTTCTCCTCCACTGTGACTTCATTATTCCAAACCTCCAAGAAAACAAATGCAGCACATACACCACCAGCACAGACAGACAGTATTCAGCTTTTCTCAAAAATATGGGCAATGAAGACACCCTCTAAGCTCCAGATTGTTTGCAAAAGATCTATGAGAATGGCCTGCAATTAGGTATCTACTAGTAAATGCATCTGATATATCTAGGTATTTTCCTGAATATACCCCACGTCTCCTAGACTTCTACTTGAGTCATTTGGAAACTAGCTCAAGAAACAAATTTGGTTCTCACTTTTATCAGGATGAAACAGTGACAAAGAGGTGGGGAAAATTGGATGGGAATTGCCCAGCAAAGACAATAAGAAACTGAAGGAAATCATATGGGTGTCCCCCGCTTTTCAAAAGTTCATGTTATACCACTTTGCTTTTTACAAAAGACCTACATTAGTACCAGTTTTTGCTAACAGGAAGAAATCTGAAGGGGATTTTCACTTTTACAAAAAAAGGCAAAAATAGGGTTCAGCATTTGTTTCGGCGAGCTGTTACAGAGGCGGCACTCACTCGGGGCAGGAGAGTGGCACCTGCAAGCTCCTTCCCAGGAAACCACATTCAGCATCTCTGCATAGCTCTGATCTGTCTGTGAGCATCTCTGCTTGAGTTTCTAAACCTACTGGTCATCAGAATCACCTGAAGATTTTTAAAATAAATATTTTCATCTCCTCCATCCCTACTGAATCATATTCTTAGCCAGGGTAAGAGAAAGCCAGGGGCTAGGATAGAAATGCAATCCCAATGGTCAGTCAGGTTTGTGCCTTACTGTTGAGACCACGAAGGTACCTCCCAGTGCCTTCTAAGTTATACCACTCACCTGCTTGGAGCTATAAAGAAAAGGGCAGAAAAGGATCTCCAGGTGCCAGCCTGCCTCCCACCTCCTTCGCAAAATGCATCACTTCTCTGTTCTCAGAGCCCTGTAATCTGGGCCATCCAAGTCAGATACTCACACTTCCACACAGGTAGGTGATTCCTCCTGTAGAGAAAAAAGATGAAAATATACTTACTAGAACCCTAGAATAAAGTTTTACAAATAGCTAATTTCATTTACTAATGGCAATGTCCTTGTAAGTTTGCATCAGCATCATTTTGCAGTTGAAGAAACGGGCCAATAGGACTGCCGTGTGATTTTGCCAGGTTTCCCTGTGGTTAGTAGCAGAGGGTGAGACACAGACAGGGGGACAGGATAGATTATTGACATAGTCATTTGTGCCCTGTTCTTATGTCTATTGGGGACTTATTTGGCAGAAGGAAAGGGTGATTTTATCCTTTTTTCTTCTCTAGAAGGAAACTTGGCTTATTCTAAGATGCAGGATGCTCTTATGCTAGGGTGTAAGAGGTTTAAGAACTTCTTTGTGTTTCAAAAGCTATTCTGCAAAAAGCCCCAACCAGGACTTTGAGAGTTCTTGGCTCTTCCAGAAAAGAAGCTGGAATTATCCCCAAAAGGGTGGAGATGGAAGACAATGTTTCACAGGGAAGACAAATATGCCTCTATCCTGGGACGATATGTTCCCCAGAGGCTGGAGGGAGGCATGGACATTTCCTGCACCCAAGTGTATAGAGCAACTCAGTGTTTCCATTGCACCGCAGCTACAAAAGGGCAAAGAAGGTGCCACTGTCAAGCTAAGTTACACAGTTGTCCCATCTTACAATCTGACTCATGGGGAACCGCAGAAATAGAAGGAACTACCTACCACTCACTTCACAGCTACTGTGAACAGGAATGTTTATCCCTGAGTCCTGAGAGCCTCCACAGGGTGTCAGGCAGATGGCAGCCTGCCTAGGCAGGTTTTTCCTCTTCCCCATCCCCCACAGCTGGACCCGGATCACAAAAAGCTGTACTTGTGTACAGAGCCCTTGGGCATCACACTCTTAGCTATCGGCTCACAGATTCATGGCCTGCAAAGCTACTGGTTCTTTATCAAAATAAAAAACTAAAAGAAATCAGACATGAAAGAGCACAAACTGTATGTTCTGTTTATATGAGGTCTAAAACAGACTAAACTCACCTATGATGATAGAGGTTAGTGTAGCAGTTACCTTAGGCCAAGTATTGACCTGGGCAGAGGTAGATGATGGCGGACAGGGGGCCAAAAGGGACCCTTCTAGGGGCTAGAAACTTTCTATATCTTGATCTGGATGGTGATTACACAAGTGTAAACATATGTGAAAAATTCATTGAGCTGTACACTTAAGATATGTGTATTTTTCTGTTATGCAAATTTTACCTCCATAAAATAAATGCATAATAAAGCAAACAAGCCAACACTGATACTAAACAAAAACCTACAATGATTGCTAGCTCCAGCTTGCCTATTACTGGGGCAACTTAGTCCCCTTTTGCTGACTCAATCTCTTCCCAATTCCTAAAATTAATCTGTCTCCTTACCTCAAAACTGCACAGAAAATTTTAAAAGCCAGAGAAGAGCAATCAGCTGCATATCCCTTACCCATAGGTTAATCTGTAGCATTGCATGTGTGCAGAGATAACAGAGCCACAGCCCAGGTTCAAATCCCTGCTCTGCCACTTAATGATCACAGCCTTAAGCAGCTTACTTAAATTCTCTCTTCCTCAGTTTCCTGATCTGTGTAATAGACTTAATAATCAGGATTAAACAAGATTAATCCATGTAAATGCACTCAGTAAATATCCAATGTTATGGTATGCCAAGCCTATGGCAAGCATTTTACCAGTATTATCTTGTTTAATCCTTGCAGTAACCCTATCTGATAGATGGTGTTATCCCCATGTTACAAGTGAAGAAACTGAAGCTCAAAGTTACATAGTTGGCAAGGGGCAAAAATAAAGGTTTGAACTCAGTTTTGTTTTTTCTTTTCCTGTTCAGGGCTTCCCTGATGTCCACTGGATCCTCCCAATCAGGTGTTCCATCAGCTTCCTCCCAGATGGCCCTAGAGTTAACCCACCATTAACTTGCATTTCTCCCACTGCCTGCTCTGAGACAATGGCCCACATGGCCCACACTTCAGGGAACTTTTGAATTCTGTCTGAGTCCCAGGTACAGAACACACAGTCTAAATAATAGAACCATGTCCCCTTCCACCAAGATTTTCATATACTGACAGGAGGAAATGTTGTTCTTAAAGAAGAAATCCACACAGCACTAGTAAACTGGAAAGGACACTACTGTCAGAAAATTTTGAAATATCTGGAAGATAGAGTTAAATGGAACCAATATTGACAAGAGTGAAGAAAAATCACATCCCAAAACTGGCTACAGAAAATGAACCAAATAAATGATTAAAATAATCTATAATAATAAAAGGGTAATATGCTAATTAGACCAGACGTCATTCCAGATGTCCTTCCTGACAAAGCCAGGGTCAGAGGGAAGCCAGCCCAGGTCCCGGGTGCCTGCGGGCAGCCTAAGGAGGAAAGCCCAGGTTCCGGGTGCCAGAGGGAAGCCAGTGCCAACAGCCGGGAAAAGGAAGGCATACTTTTGCATGAATTTTTGTGCATCGGGCCTCTAGTGAGAACCTAAAAGCAAATCCAGAAAGATTCCAAATTCAGATAGACATTTGCAACAATACAGAAGAAGCCTCTGAATGAACCATCAGGGTAATTTAATAAATAACTGTATTCAGAACATGAGGCCCATTAAGCTTCTCCTGCTCCTAAACTGGCAGAATGAAAACATCAGTAGCGTTTGGCATGGGGAGGGGAGAGGGTTGGAGATAGGGGTGGGAGTGCACCGGAGGAATTGTTAGGAAATGAGAAGGTAGCTCTGAAAGAAGAAAATGTGCAGTCTGCCACCAGAGTGAAACCTTCCTTGCTTTAACACCATGGCAGGAAAATACTGTAAATGTGTGGTGTACTGGTTTTCAGTTGCTGCCATAACAAATTTCTACAAACTTAGTGGCTTTAAACAACACAATTCTGATGCCTCTTGCATAGTCACGTCTCTCTCTCATCACAGCTGAGAAAGCTTCTCTATTTTTAAGGAATCCTGTAGTGGGGCCCACTGGATAATCCAGGATACTCACCCTTTCTCAAATTGTTTAACTTAATCACATTTGCGAAGTCCCTTTTGCCATGTGAGAAAACATGTTTACATGTTCCAGGGATTAGGCCATGGGTATCCTTGAGGCTATTTTTTCTGCCTACCGCATGTGGGTGCCTGACAGGTAACTCTGCTTCCTGGTTTGGCAATTGGAGTGTTTGCTGGCTGTCCCACCCAGGACCTGAATGTGGAGTGACACCCATAAAGACCAACCAATAACCTAACCAAACTATTTTTGAAGAGTTTCCTTGGCAGTGGTCCCTTGATTCCTGCTGATTTTCCAAGCCTGGTTTTCAGCTTTCTGGTCAATTCTGTGAGCTACCCAATAGCCTGCAATAAACTATTTTTCTGCATTAATTAGCCAGACCCAATTTCTGTCACTTATAATCAAGAATTCCGACAGATATAAAGTGTCCTACCTAACTGTGTACTCCATACCCACTCATCTTTAAGTAAATGCTTCCTGGGAATATTCCCCACCCACGTACAGAGAACTTAGATCCTGTATTTAGAGGAGAGGTCTGTCAGATAGCACACCCACACAAAAGCAGATAAAACCCATGCCACTGGCCTACAATAATCAACCTAGTCCTTCACTTATACAAGTAAAAAATAACTCGGATCACTAGACATAAAAGCAAACAAACAAAAAAACCAGCATGAGAATCAAATAAACAAAAAGGAACAAATAGACTTGACCTGGAAGAATAAAAGATCAGAATAAAATGTCCATCTTAGACAAAAAAAAAAGAGTCAATTTAGTATATTTATGGATGATTAAGAATATTGCGCCTACATAAAACAAGAACATTTAGAGAGTAAGAGTTATCCTATATAATAAAAGGCTAATATGCAAATTGTCCCCTTGACCAGGAGTTCAACAGGGAGTTCAACCAGAGGGTGGGGCCAGCCCACTAGCCACCCCCGGCTGGCCTGGCCTGATGGGCCCTGATGGGGGCTGGCTGGCCAGACCCCACCTGTGCACAAATTTGTGCACCGAGCCTCTAGTTGGAAAATAAAAATCCAGTAAGAGGACTTCATTCACTACTGCATCTCAGCATTTAAAATAATACTAGGAACTAACTAAACATTTGTTGAATGAATGAATGAATGAGCAATGGAACCTGTACAACTGAAAGTCAAATTAGTAATCCAAAAATAAAGAGAAATCTCCCAAAATTTGAAATAAAAAGGACCAAATAAATGTAAAATACCAGAAAGAACTTAAATATGGAAAACTAACCAAGATTATCTGAAATCCATATAATAGAAGCTCCAAAAAGAAAGTACGGAAATAATAAAAGAAGAAATCATCAAGGAAAATAATGAAAAGAATTTCCCTGAGCTGAAGAAACCACAACATATAGATTGAAAGGGCCCACTGACAAATCCTGGTGAATCTTAAGAAACCTACAGAATAAAATATATATATAAGAAACCTACAGATATAGAACATGATTCTGAAAAATTCCACATGAATAAAATCTACAAAGGAACAAGCAGATTAGCATCAGACATCTCATCAGCAATGCTGGGTTCCAGACACCAGAGCAATATCTTCAAAATTCTGAAGGGAAATGATTTTGAACCTAGAACTCTATATACTAAGGAAAACTTATGTTCAAGTGTGAGAGCAAATTGGAAATATTTTTTAACACACCGTGCCTCAGAAGTTTTACCACAAACACACTATCTCTAAAATAATTACCTTCTCCTTCTTTCATCCTGTCCACCATCTCCCCTCCCCTCTGACAGCTGTCAGTTTGTTCCATGTAAACATGCCTCTCTATTTTGTTCATTAGTTTATTTTGTTCATTAGATTCCACATATAAATGAGATCCTATGGTATTTGTCTTTCTCTGACTAGCTCATTTTACCTAGCATAATAATCTTCAGGTCCATCTATGCTGCTGCAAAAGATAAGATTTCCTTCTTTTTACAGCTGCATAGTATTCCA